ATTTCTTATTACTCAATTCTAAATATATAAATAATTTATAATATAAATAAATAATATAAAATATAGAAATAAATTAAAAAATAATTGCGTTCTCATTACTGTAGACAGGATAATGTTTGGGAATTTTTTTGCAATGTGCAATGTGCATTTTTTCCCAGGTGCAATGTGACCTGGACATGTTTTTTGTGAGATCCATACTGTTTATTAGCCTATAGAATATTTTGTTAACCTCTCAATCCTAAAAATACTCTCTCTCTCTCTATAAACTAACTGTGTATATAAAGTATCACTCATAGGACAGGATCCATCTGTGGGTCCCAAACTCTTTGGTCAGGCTCATGCAGGAAGGTGAGAGGGAGAAGAAGGAGAAGGAGAAGGCAAAATCCACCATCAACCTTCATCTGTGTTGCCTTGAAAAAGGGAGGGCAATGCCTGCTTCCCTCTCTCTTTCGTCTTGGTACAGAGAGAGGCAGGGAAGCAGCAAGGAAAGAGGAATGGAGAGGCAAGACCAGATCTGGAAGAATACCTTTGCAATAGCAGATCTGAAAGTTTCAACTGCAGCTGAATACAAATGAGGACAGACTGTGTTGTAAAGGCAGGCGGCGGCTGAGTTTCTCTCCATGAGCACACACACGCTTCACCTCACCATGCTGGGGTTTAGTTTTCAATAACAAGTGATTATTACACGGCTGCAAATAAATAAATAAATGGACACGAAATATTGATTGGATTTTAAATTAGTTTATTATGTGAGCAGAAAGAGAGCGCAGAGTGGTATGAGACACTTGAAACTAGCACAGATGTGTTAGAAATCATTTTGCTGGGACGATGCTCAATTATACAGTTTAGCATCAATATGCAAAACTATTTTGGAATGAAAATTATTTTTAATAAACACCAGATCCAAAATATCTGCATGTGGCTGTAAGCATTTATTCTGGCAATCAATTTATTCAATTACATCTGAATAATTTGGGCAGCGGATGCACATATAGTAATTAGCAGACATTTTAAAGGGGTCATATGATGCGATTTCAATTTTTCCTTTCTCTTTGGAGTGTTACAAGCTCTTGGTGCATAAAGAAGATCTGTCGCTCCTTCGTCGAATCCGCCGGCCACGCCGTTCTCAAGCCCGCCTGCCGCCGCTTACTCAAGCCAGCCTCCGCTCACTCTAGGCCTCTGCTCACTCAAGGCCGCGGGGTGTGCTGTTTCAATTACACCAAATACACAAAATGTTCTTTTTAGCAGCATCATATGACCCCCTTAAAATAAAAGTGACTTGCAAGTTTACACTGATTATATAGTGTGGTTGATTGTATGAAAGTGTGTTAATATGTTATTATTTTAAATATGAATACATTTGAGGGTGTTTGAATTTGATGAAAGAAAATAAATGCATAACGCTGAAATGGCTGACACAAAAATCTTGTGAAAACAAAACAGTAGACTAATTTTTGTAGACTAATTGAGACATACGGTGCTGACGCTTTAATGAGGGTTCTTATGACTGCAATCAAAACATCCACATGAAATTTGATTTTAGTGCTGAAATGATTTTAATTAGGGAAATCAAGCTGTCCATAATTACAGGAGCAACAGAGGTCTCTCTCCTCCATGTCAGAAAGCCACAGGACGCTTGATGTACGTCAGGACTTCATTAGCACAGACATGAGGTGCCAAACACAAAGAAAACAGTAAAACTCTGCTATTTATTTTCCCTCAAGAAACTTTTTAACAACCCCTCACACGATGTGAGCTCACACTCTCAGCCGAAAACACCTCAACAACACCCGTCTTGAGCTCCGGCCAGTAATTTCCCTGTTGTAACCTTGTCAATAGCCCAAAATACATTGTATGGGTCAAAATGATTTTTCATTTATGCCAAAAATCATTAGGATATTAAGTAAAGATCATGTTCCATGAAGATATTTTGTAAATTTCCTACCGTAAATATATCAAAACTTCATTTTTGATTAGTAATATGCATTGCTAAGGACTTCATTTGGACAACTTTAAAGGCGATTTTCTCAATATTTAGATTTTTTTGCACCCTCAGATTTCAGATTTTCAAAGAGTTGTATCTCAGCCAAATATTGTCTTATCCTAACAAACCATACATCAATGCAAAGCTTATTTATTCAGCTTTCAGATAATGTATAAATCTCAATTTCGAAAAATGTACCCTTATGACTGGTTTTGTGGTCCAGGGTCACATGTTGTTATTTTAAATTTGATTATTTATAATTATTAATTATTATTAGTATTTTTTGACAGTTCTGCAGCTGTTACCTGGATGGAATTAATTTTTATTGTTATTTTCTTTTCTTCATTTGCTTAAATTAAGGCTACATTATGATGTAATTATTTGTCTCATTTTTTAAAATCTAAATAATTTAGCATTTTAAAAACTTTTTAAAATGCCAAATTGTATATGACATATGATTATATTTATGTAAATAGTTATGATAAATATAAATGATAAATTAATAAATAGGGTCTAACATTAATTATAACCTATTAATTCATCTGTCTAATAATGTCTAAAAATATAATAATTATGTCTACCAAGCACTGATAATGTCTGAATGTTATATTAACAGACTATCCAAATTTTAATAAAACAATAGGCCTATACACAGATGTGTTCGTCACTTTAAAGGAATGGGTTATCCAAAAATGAAAATTCTGTCATAATTTACCCAGGTTTTCCTAAACCTGCATATAAAGTTCTTTCTTCTGTAGAACACAAAAGAAGATACTTTGAAGAATGTGGGTAACTAAACAGCTTCAGGTCTTCAGTAATTTTCATAGTAGAGAAAAAATACTATCAGACCAGAAACTGTTTTGTTACCCACATTCTTCAAATATTCCTCAACATAAGAAAGAAGTTATTACAGCTGTGTAAACGTTTCATTTTTGGGTGAACTGTCCCTTTAAGTCAGACAGTCCACCGTGAGCTTAACGTATAAGCAATTTTGCTAAAAATTTTAAACTTCCAATAGAACATATTAATATTGTTATTTTAAATTAGATTATTTATAATTATTAATTATTAGTCTTTTTTGACAGTTCTGCAGCTGTTACCTGGATGGAATTAATTTTTATTGTTATTTTCTTTTCTTCATTTGCTTAAATTAAGGCTACATTATGATGTAATTATTTGTCTCATTTTTTAAAATCTAAATAATTTAGCATTTTAAAAACTTTTTAAAATGCCAAATTGTATATGACATATATGATTATTTATGTATATATTTATGATTAATATAAATTATAAATTAAACCGGGTCTAACATTAATTATAACCTATTCATCTGTCTAATAATGTCTAAAAATATAATAATTATGTCTACCAAGCACTGATAATGTCTGAATGTTATATTAACAGACTATCCAAATTTTAATAAAACAATAGGCCTATACACAGATGTGTCCGTCACTTTAAAGGAATGGGTTATCCAAAAATGAAAATTCTGTCATAATTTACCCAGGTTGTCCTAAACCTGCATATAAAGTTCTTTCTTCTGTAGAACACAAAAGAAGATACTTTGAAGAATGTGGGTAACTAAACAGCTTCAGGTCTTCAGTAATTTTCATAGTAGAGAAAAAATACTATCAGACCAGAAACTGTTTTGTTACCCACATTCTTCAAATATTCCTCAACATAAGAAAGAAGTTATTACAGCTGTGTAAACGTTTCATTTTTGGGTGAACTGTCCCTTTAAGTCAGACAGTCCACCGTGAGCAGCTGAAATGCTTCTCTGCAAACTGCGCGTTCATCATTAGTTACAGGACAGACCCATTGATAACTTTCCCATTCAGCCCTACACCTGGAGCGCCTTGTGTTCAAAGGGCAGATGTGAGCTCTAGATGTTATGCGCTCGCATGAAAGGGCTATTAGTATTATAAACAGTGCAAAATACTTATTAGTTGATTAACTATGTGTATCCATGAACTATGCAAATCGCGTCCCGTATTGATTTGATACGGGACACACCATTTTACCTTTAAATACGGGACGATTCCGGGTGGCAACCCTAACCACTACTACTACTACTACTAATAATAATAATGATTATTATTGTTATCCTCGCTGTTTCTGTTGTTCTTTGTCATAGACTGTAACAAGTTTTGTTGTTGAATTCAGTCAGGTCACTGTACGAGCACGTGCGCATGCCCACTACTGACAAACTGTCGCGAGACACGTTGCTATAACGACAGTACATGTACACAGTTTCCACAAGCGGTAGTTCGGGAGACCGGTGTTGATGTAAGTAACTGTACTTTTAAAAAAATGTGACATTTTGATAAAGTATTGTTGATAAAGTATGTTTTAGCTCTGGAAAATAAATACAATTAGTTCCTTTTAACAGCCCTCGCCTTTGTTTCTTATAATTATTCTAACTTAACGCCTTAATGTGCAGGAAGCAAGACTAATGAGAATATATTTGGCAGGTTTCACTCTTTTATCTGCCTTTTCTTTCATCTTAGTACATAAATAGTGAGGAATTAAGATAATACCATGTTTTAGATGTGTACCATGGTAGTACCGTCATATTCTTTGGCGTACCTGAGTATCTTGCAAATACCATGGTATTTTATGTCAAATGTACACATTACATTGGTAACTTAGCATGGTTCTGAAACATGGTGGTATCATGATATTCTTTGACATATATTTGAGTACCATGCAAATGCCATGGTATTTTATGTCAAATGTGTGCAATAACAAAATGGCACTACTATGGTGGTAACCTTATACCATGAAAATACCATGGTATATACTTCAATATGCTAATCATTCAGTACCATGATCTTATAACATCACTGCTCCATGTCTTTTTTTGCAAAACTTTGCTGCTGTTATTCATTTCATTGGCCTCTTTGTAGGCTAATTCATTGAAATTTGTTCTATTGTGTGCTGTGCGTTTCTCACTCAGAACTCTATTTTCTCAGGATACTTCAGTGGAAATTACACCCTGTGAAGCTTACAGTCTGATCAGAGAGCACCATGAATTTAAACAACTTTGTGGTACTTCCCAGCAAGCCCAAGTCAATGAAGTTAAATGTCAGGTTTGTACAGTCTGTTCCCTTGAGTTTCTTTTCACGCTTCAGATTTTTCACATTATTAGCACGTTACACGTCGCGTTTGCAAATGGTGGCGCGTCAAATGTTTAGAGTAGTCTATTCATTTTAGCAGAATAACATGATTTTGTGTATTGTGTTGAATGAATGCTATAAGCAGAGTGACACTAATAAAACAGGAAAAAGTCAGAGTCACAGTAAATATGTAGCATGTAAAAAGTATTTTTTGCCCCAGGAATCTCCAGGAACTGCGTATGGAAACAGTGCAGCTGGATCAACATGCCAAGGAGATGGAGAGCAGACTGGAGGAGCTCAGACAGCATATGAACCAGGAGAAAGAGGAGAGGGAGTGAGTAAAATAGGGACGGGAGGGACAGCTTGTTGAGTTAATGAACCAGTGAGTAGATGAATAAATTAACGAGCCAAACAATGACTGTGACAGAGAGCGTTGAGATAAAAGAGGAAATGTAAACAATGAAACGGCAATGAATAAAATGAAAAACGTAGGAAGAGATAGCAAGTGAAAGAAAGAGAATGAGAGACTGTGAGGGTAGGTGTGGAGGCAAAGACAGAAGAATTTCAACAAATAATTCATCCAAAATTAATATTCTGTCCATGTTTTTTCACCCTTCCAAAACCTGTATGCAACCTGCATTTTTTCTTGAGTTTTCCCCCATACTATGACAGTTTAAAGTGGCTATGGCTGTCAAACTCCAAAAAACAACAACAAAAAAATCTCCATAAAAGTAGTCCATATCACACAAATCCTCAAATGCCATACATTTACATTCATTTATTTGGCAGACTTTTCTCCAAAGTGACTAACGTTGCATTGAAGGCCCTCCTTTCCAAGTTGTAACTCAAAAATAAGATGTCATTTTAAAGTTATACATATTTATTTTTAAATATGAACTTGAACAGCAAAAATCACATTGGATCTGCTATTTTCATTTCCTATTTGAATCACTTTTATACTTTGTAAACACTTTCATGTGACTTTGTAAATATACATTAATCTAACTTGACATTCGTCATAGAAATGCCAATGCCAATGCCAATCAAACCCAGTGCATATGTGCTTTCTCAAGGGTGTGGGTCACCTAAGTGCAGTGCCTTGCAGAAAGACACTGACATATAGTTAAAGGTCGCCAAAGACAACCTAAAGTTCTCAAAGACACCATCTGCGTTAAGTTTCCGACTACTACACATCCATACAGTTCTGTTCCTTAGAATTTCGCTTTTGTCTAATGAAAACGTGTGGGTTAGTAAAGGAATAGTTCACCCAAAAATGAAAATTTGAATGCCAATGCCAATGCCAATCAAACCCAGTGCATATGTGCTTTCTCAAGGGTGTGGGTCACCTAAGTGCAGTGCCTTGCAGAAAGACACTGACATATAGTTAAAGGTCGCCAAAGACAACCTAAAGTTCTCAAAGACACCATCTGCATTAAGTTTCCGACTACTACACATCCATACAGTTCTGTTCCTTAGAACTTCGCTTTTGTCTAATGAAAATGTGTGGGTTAGTAAAGGAATAGTTCACCCAAAAATGAAAATTTTCTGAAAAATGTATTCACCCTCAGGCCAGATGTAGATATAGATGAGTTTGTTTCTTCATGGGAACAGATTTGAAGAAATGTTGTATTCCATCACTGTTCACAATGGGTCCACTGCAGTGAATGGGTGCCGAAAGCGAGACCAAGCAGCTGATAAAAAACATCACAATAATCCACAAGTAATTCACACATGACTCCAGGCCATCTATTAACATCTTGTTTTTAAGAAACAAATTCACCATTAAGACATTTTTACCTTCAAACCATTACTTCCAGCTAAAATACAAGTCCTTTATCCATGATATTGCTTTTTCCAGTAAATAAATTAATCTAATTTGAATCAGGAGAGAAATATGCACAGATCAAGCATTGTTCATAAACGAAAAGGTCCAGAACAGTTCTAAACAAAGATGTCAGTGGATATTTATGTGAGAGGACAGGGGATGGACTTTTTTTTTTTTTTTTTTACTTGAGAAAGCATTGTTGTGGATTATAAACTTTTATTTTGGCCAGAAGAAGTGGTTTAAAATTAAAATGCCTTTATGATGGATTTGTTTCTTACATACTTGCAGCTTTGCACTTCACAAGACATTAAATGATGGACTGGAGTCGTGTGGATTACTTGTGGATTATTGTGATGTTTTTATCAGCTGTTTGGACTCTCATTCTGACGGCACCCATTCACTGCAGAGGGTCTATGTTGAGCAAGTGATGTAATGCTAAATTTCTCCAAATCTGCTGAAGAAACAACCTCACGTCTTGGATGGCCTGAGGGTGAGTAAATTTTCAGCAAACTGTCATTTTTGGGTGAATAATTCTTTTAAGACCAGTCTCTGATATGGGTACATTTAAAACTTTGTGTGAACAACAGCCAACTTGTGGCGTGAACGTACCCTTTGACACTTCGGATAACGTGAGAGGAAAAGGCATGCGAGTATATGTAGCCAAGGTAGAGAAGAAGTGGAAATGGAGTGACAGAGGTGCCATTAGCTTTAAAATCTGATCGTCACATGGAGTATGCAGCTCCTGCAGGTAATCTCAGGTGATGGTTTGACTTCAGAGCGATCTGGTGTGATGGAATCAGCACAGCCATCGAGTAGAAGGAAATTGAGTCATCTCGGCTCCAGCAGCTCCGCTCTCACTGCATCGCCATGCTTGTCTTCCCATTTCTCCCAAACAAATTAAGATTAAGTGGGACCCTATGCCAAAACGAGGAAGGCAGGAAATTAGTTTTCTGTCAAAATAAAAGAATAGGAAAAAATAACATCAGTAGTTATTAATTTGATGTCTCTCTCTCTTTCTCTTCCCGGCCCGGCGCCTTTCCTTCAGCTCTTCATTAATAACACTAAAATGTGACCTGTGTAGGTCCACCTCATGAATTTATAGTGGCGGCCGTTTTAGGCTTACATATAAACTCATAACTCAACAGGGGAGGGAAACACTACGGTAATGGGGTAGATGCAGCGAATACATCATATTCCCATATATACTTCCCAACAAATGCAAACATATACATGCAATCGGTCCGGATGAATTATGTTGAGATAGCATGAGGAATGAATTTATCCGTAATTTAACATATTTGTCCCTGGAAAGCGGATATATCAGTGAGGCGGAAAGCCAATCGGAGACAATAGCATGACGCTATTCCTGTGATTTCTTCATGGGGATGGACGGCACCAAATGCACCTGTATCAATAACATAAGGCAGCACTTTGCGATAATTAGATGAATGAATGTAGGGAGAATGCAGCTCTAGACAAGATGTCTGCGAGATCTGGGCTGCGTACCGGAACTGTCATATTAAGGGATGTAAGCGGTACCATATCTAAATTGTGATTGCCTCCATACGGATGTTTTTAAATAAAACTGTTTTAGATTAGCTCTTATCGGCGACCATTAATCAAAGCAGAACTTCTGTTGCGGGTGCCGTGCTGGGAATGGTTGATGTTATCTTCCTCCATGCTCAACCTGCTCGCTGTTTATTGTAGCGAAGGCAGAGGACTAAAGGGCCACAGGTGAATTCATAAGAATAGATGAGAGCCGATGGGCTCTGGCCTTATGCTCGGTGGGCGAATAAACTGTACTCACAAAGTTGAGCGCTGAAACAAACTTGTAGTTTCTTTGCATACTTTGTTGTTGCTTGTCCCTACAGAGCTGGACATCATACACTACAGTTTAAAAGTTTGGGGTCAATAATATTTGTTTTTAAGAAATTAATACTTTTATTCAGTAAGGACGAATTAAATTGGTAAAAAGTGACAGTAAAGACTTAAAAAAAATATATATATATATTTATTTTTGGCAAACAGTAAAGACTTTTATAATGTTAGAAAAGATTTTGAATAAATGCTGTTCTTTTGAACTGATTTTCAAGGAGTCCTGAAAAGAATGAATCACAGTTTCTACAAAAATATTAAGCAGAACAGCCGTTTTCAATATTCATAATAAGAAGAAATCAGCAAATCAGAATTAGAATGATTTCTGAAGGAGCATGTGACACTGAAAATTCAGCTTTGCATCACAGGAATAAAATACAATTTAAAATATATTAAGACAGAAAACTATGGAAGCCCATTTCTGCCACAGAATTAATTAAAACGGTAATTGCAACTTTTTATCTCATAATTCACACTTTTTCTTGCAATTCTTGCAGTTTATATCTCACAATTCAGACTATTTTCTCAGAAACTTAATCTCGGAATTGTGAGATATAAACTTGCAATTCTGAGAAAAAAGTCAGAATTCTAAGAATCTCGCAATTCGGACTTTTTTTCTCTGAATTATAAGTTTACATCTCTCAAATCCATGACATGAAAAAATATATAATTGTGAATTTTTTATCTCACAATTATGTCTTTTTTCACAGAATTGTGAGTTTATAACTTGCAATTCTCCATTTAAGTATTGCAGTTCTGAGTTATATCTTGGAATTCTGGATGACATTTTTATTGATGAACAAAAAGGTTATAGCATTATGAGCTAAACAAGTTTTTATTTTTTTTATTTTGTATCTGGCCGAAACAAGCTTCCATAGAAAACATTTATTTTAAATTGTAAAAATATCCATAAATAGTTCAAGATGATGTTCAAAATGGGACTATTTTGCCAACATTTTGTGTATTTTATGTTTATTAAATGATGTTGTTAATAAATTATGTTTAAATGGTAACTTATTAAATTATAATTTTTCCAAGTTCATTTATTGTGAAGACTTGCACTTCCAGAGGCCGTTTTTATCATTCTGAAATCTGATTTAACACCAGATTAAATGTGCAGTAGTGTAACCTCTCACCTGTCCCACTGCTGCCACACGATGAACTCGAGTAGCAGAAGAGTCTGATGTCTGTGACCCTGACAGGAGATAAGTGTTTGTCTTGTTGGTTGGCACTCAGTGTGCGCGCGATGGTAATCTGCCAGTTGTTAGCACAACTGCCACGTTGCCTGCGCGTTTCCCCATAATGCTGACAGGCAGGCTTGAGCGCGGTTAATCCCCATCCCAAATGCCCGTCTCCATCAGACTGATAAAGGCCAGCACATAAACAGCCCTTAATGAGAGTGGACAGCGTGCAGAGGAAGTGTCCTCTCTCCCTGCTGGCCCCTTCTAAAGTCTCTGACTTTCTCACTCTTTTATAATATGAGATTTTAGTGGAACTGCTGAGCTGTGTATTTTTAGTTTGATCTATTCATGACTTTTCCTATTGCTTATACTTATGGTTAGATATTTAAACAAATTCCCTTTAAGTATTAAAGTATTACTTTTCTGAGTGATTAGATTTATTATTTTTGCCTTGCAGAAGATAACATTCTGTTAAATATATATGTATATATTTTGGTTTGATTTTTTTAAAGAAAATTTTTATATATTTTGGATAGATTTTTTTAAAAAGAAAACAATAGTTTAAATCAGCAACAATGCATTAAAAGTGACAGTAAACATATTATTGTTACAGAAAAATTATTTCGAATAAATGCTGTTCTTTTGAACTTTCTATTAATCGAAATCCTGAAAAAATTTATCATGGTTTCCACAAAAATATTCAAGACATTTTTCTTGAGGATCATGTGACACTGAAGACCGGAGTAATGATGCTGAAAATTCAGCTTTGTATCACAGGAATAAATGACATTTTAATAAATATTCAATGAATAAATAATTATTTTAAATTCTAATAATATTTCACAATATTAGTGTTTTACTGTATATTTAATAAAAAAATGCAGCTTTTGTGAGTATAAAACACTTTAAAAACATTAAAAACTCCTACCAACCGTGAACATTTGAACAAAATAATAAATAACTTTGCTATAGCACTCTAATTCTAGAATAATTTTCCATTTTAAGTGTGGCTTAAATGTCTAGATACTTTTGGGGCCACTTTATAATTTTGCCTTGATTTACCCTAGCATTTAAATAACTTTCACTGTCGTGTCACACAGCAAGACACTTAACCTTAAGATGGTTCAAAGGGGGCTGTCTCTAATTAGTATACGGTAAGTTGCTTTGACAAATTAGTAAATTAGTAACTAGTAAAAACTCAAATACGAGTGCGTACCCTGCTTCCTCTGAGCATGTGAACC